TCCTCCTCCTCCTCCTCCTCCTCCTCCCGGGCAGCGCGCGCAGAGAGCACCGCGCCCAGGAAAGGGCAGCGGGGGCCGCCTGGCCGAGCTGCAGGTCGAGGAGCACCGCGGGGGCGGCGGCCGCCCCCCCTCGGGCCATGCAGAAAAATCGCGACGGGAGGTGTTTCACCACGCTCGGCCCCCTGGGGGCCCCTACCGGGCCCGTGGGCCCCGACCCCCTCGAGCAATGATAAGAATCAAGACAGGAGGTTCTCCACCACTTTCGGCCACTGGGGGCCCTTACCGGGCCCGTGGGCCCTGACCCCTTGGAGCAATGATAAAAATCCAGACGGGAGGTTCTTTTCACCGCTTTCGGCCTCGGGGGGCCTTATAACGGCCCTCGGGACCGTCAAGAAACGACTCGGGATGAAAGACCAGTCCCGGGGAACAGGTCGAGATCTCTGGAGTCATGAGAAAATCACGACAGGAGGTGTTTCGCCGTTTCCGGCCTCTGGGGGCCGTCAAAAAACAGCTCGCGGTGAGAAAACGGTCCCGGGGAATCGGTCGAGACCTCTGGGGGTCGACGTCATGCAGAAGTCACGACTCTGGCCCCGCGGGCCCAGGAGGGACACGGGCCCCTCTGGGAACCATGAGCGGCAAGTGCACGATTTTCCTCGGAGGTCGCCGGCGTCCTCCTTCTCGCGGCGGCAGGCGAGGAGGGAAAGTGAGAATGGGGCGGACCTTCCCCAGAAGGCTCGGAAGCCCCCCCCGGCCTTCTGAGAGGTCTTCTGGGCCCCCCACCCCGAGGGCACAGGAAGCTTCAGAGAGGGCGGGAGGGCGTCTGAGAAGTCCCGCCGCCTTCCGAGGAGGCTTTCTTCCTTCTCATATGTTCCCCCCCTCGCTCGCCACTAACTCTTCCTCGCTGGTGCTCCTCCTTCCACTGGCATTTGCGCCCTTGGCAGCGTCTCTCGTGTGGCGTTCCCGGTTTGCCCAGCGGCCTTCAGTCTCACGTCGTGGAGCCAGTTACGCATCGGTTTGTCGTGGGCAGAGAATCGGGGGTGGATAGATTTCTTAGCCTTGACAGGTCGATTAGCGAATTGGCCGTTTTCGGTCCCCGAGAGGGCGCCGCGGCCGTCACTTTTGCAGGTCCAGGTCCGCCGGTTTCGGACTCAGGCCGTTTCAACTGAAGGGTGGTTTACCAAAGGGATGTTTGTCCACCGCCGGGAGAACATTCTATTGTTTGGAAGGTCCGCGCGGATTTCTCGGATCGGCGTTCTCGGACCCCCAGACTGGGAGGGCCCCGGGGCAGAAGAAAGAGCGACCCGGGAGGGAGAACGGGTCCCCGGGGGAGAGACCCTGGCCGAGCGGCTCTCATCTCCAGGGGGGTGCGACGAGGGGAGGGCCCATCTTGATCCGACTTGAGATGTATCGATTTCGGCCAGCTCGATCCGATTCGATTCCGATATGGCCCGATCGCACGGCGTTGTTTCGTATACTGGCGCGGCCGAGTCGATCCGGTTTCGGCTCTGTGCCGATACAGCCCGATCTGGAGCACGTTCCGAGTCGATCCGGTTTCAAGGTTCGATGCGGATTGATCTTGCAAGGGGGGAAGGAGCAGCGAAAACATCACACATGCATCTTGGGCTGCAAGAGTTCAGGGATGCGCCAAGTGTCCTTCCATGTGCAGTTCGCCCTTGCGGCAGCTCCCGACTGCTCGCGCGATGGCGGAGGGCACAGGAGTGTTGAAGTGCATGGGCTGCTAAAATGGTAGATGGGCTCCGCGCCAGGCGGGGACAATATTCTGTCGAGTTAGTGCGAATTGCGCCCGCCTCGAGGCCGTGGGGAAGGCCGCAGGGGATAGGGGCAAAGAACGGGCAGGAACCAAACAAAGCGGCACACAGATGTAGGTGATTTGTTCGCGTGACTTCTGCACCGCACCCCAAGACCGACATTTAAGGTATCGCAGCTCATGTCATCCTCATCCCTGACACTGGCATTTGCCTCTACATACAAGCAACCGCTTCAATTAGCAGTGCCACAAGCTAATTCCTGATCGGGAAAGGTTGTCTCCGCAGCACTCGTCTGAAAGAGCAGCCATCAGCAAGAGAGTCGACCACGGAGACAGCAGCAGAGACAACGGAGTTGTAACGTGCGTGTAGAATTCGGGGGGGGGGGGTCAAACATATTCCGATGACGAGATCGATAAGAGAGAAGACTCTGATAACAGAAGCAGTGGATAGCACAGGGAGTACCCATCGGGAAAGTCAAGCAGTTGTTGATGTCTGCGCCGATTCCTACGAGGAGCTTTACTGGGCAACTGGGCTGCAGAAACATTCGGAGGCGACAGAAAGCGAGCCGTTACCTCCTTTCACATGCTCGGAGCCACAAAAAGAGATTAAGGCATCGAAGAAAGGTAAGGCGATGGACCGCGCGGGCATAAAGAGCAGCATGTTGAAAGATGTTGGCGAGGCCCTTGCCAAAGTGTTTACGACCTTGCTCGAAGATCTTGTTGAGACGAGCGCACAATCATTGGAGGCTTGGAAAGCACATGTGACAACAGTTCGATTCGAAAGCGGCGACCCACGTTAACAGCCGGCTGCTCTGGGAGCGCGCGACACTGATATTAGGCGCCGCGCAATTCGTTGACCAGGCGGTGTTTCACGCAAACTACAGCACGGAGGACCACTGGCTCGCGTACACGTTTCATGAATCATGCGATGAGTGGGGAAGGGCTCCTTGGGCTGCTATTTTGGAATTCAAGGAACCATGGGACCGCATTTGGCATGCTGCACACAGGAGTACCGCGGGCGTACGTCGCACGCTTCAAAAGCGGTATTCCTCGCAGAGCGGCACGGTGCAGCTCAACAAAACAAGATGCGATCTTTGCGTATAGAGGGGTTCCAACTAAGGGGGTGATTCGAGCCTGGTGCTCTTCAGCGATGTCTCAGAGTTCATTTTCTGGCCGTTGAAAACACAATGGGCGGAAAATGATGTTGGTTATTGTCTAGTTGACGAATGGCTACATGTCGCACACGGCGTGTCATGGCGCCAACATCGCAGAGCGGATTTCGTTCGGAAAACAGAGGCTGAGCCTGGAGTGTCCTGGAGAATTTTGCTCCAAATTTCGAATTGAATTTCGTGCGGATTTTCGTGGTCAGGAACACAACAAAAAATCCACGTGAAATTCACTTCGTTTTTCGCTCGCTATTTCTGGGTTTTGCATTGACAGAAATCCACGCGAAAATCCGCTGCAGCACGTCTGCAAGGCCGGTGCAGTGAGGCGTGTTGCTGGTGAGCTGTTCGCTGACAGGCTTGAAACGAATGCTAGCAGACGTGGTTTCGGCGTGCGAGCTCTGCGGGCTATCGTTGCAGGCGGACAGGCCTAAAGCGATGACGAATGTGCACGGGCGATAGCACACAGTGAGATGCCAATCAACGGAATGTAGATAAGCAGGACGAGGCCACCAAATATTTGGGCAGGAAAGTTGTTTTTCAGGGCGTGCGTGGCGTCGAACTGGAGAAACGGCTACAGTCCGCGTGGAGAAAGTTCGCCGTCAAGGATGAGTTCACTATTACCAGCTACCCCTTGCGCTCGAGGCTCTGAGCGTCTGATTCCGCGGCCGCCCCTTGCGCTTTATACGGTGCGGCCTGGTGGATTTTGACGGGCGAGATGGAGCGAAAGCGATGGAGGAATCAACGTCAGACGTTGCGACTCTGATTGGGCTCTGGCAGAAGGAGCAAGTCGAAAGGGCACGACCACGTAATGTCATGCTGATCAAATGTTGGTCGTAAAGAGAGAGACGTGGAGACGCGGGTAGAACGGATTCAACGAACAGCCCGAGATATTCAGAAACGTTCGAAGGATATTTGTATGTCTGATTGGATAACGCAGTTTCGGGCTCGAAAGAGTAAGTTTGCAGGCAAGCTCTTGCCAACGGAATTGCGCAAATTGTCATACAAGGTGTTGTTCCGGAGCCCCGGCCGCACTCAGAGCACGAGCGACCGCATCGATCGAAGAGCAAAAGGGTGCATTGATTGCGTCGTGGTTCGCGTGCGGCACAAGGTGGACAGAGTCGGCGCAGAGATCGGAGAAGTTGGCCGAAATCGAATATTGGCCCGTCCACTGCGCAGGCAGCCCCGCAGGTAGCCCCGCCAGCGTGTCCTCCGTCGCCGCTTTCGTCGCTCGTCCTTCCCTCTCCTCCGCCTCGGCGTTTTTCGTCCCCGCTGCTCGTGCGTCCCCCTCTGCGGTCGTGTGCCCTTCCTCGCCCCCCATGGACGGTCCTGCTGTCTCCAGGACCACTTGCTGCAGCAACGGATGGAGCTTTTTGGCAGCTGCGTCTCGTTCCACGCGTTTGCCCGTCAGCTACCGTAGGCGGACCCGCCTGCCGGCACGCAGCCTACCGCTCTCCCTTGCATGGGGGCCCGCTTCGGACCGCTCAGGGCGCGCTCGCGCTCGCTCGCCACTGCAACCCCCCGCCAGGAGAACCGAGGCCTGCACACGACGAGTGAAGCATTGGCTGACGGGCGGCGCGCCATCCTGATACACAGATGGACAGCTGGGGCAGCGGCGTCTCGACATGTATTGGGACTCTACGGTGGGCCGAGCAGAGGCACTGTGCCACGGACCGAAGGAGATTCAAAGCACAGGCTCGGGCAAGCGGTTGCTTCGGAGGATAGCAGCATCAACGCGAATGCCGCGATGCAACACATGGTCTTGGAAGCCCTTGTTCTCTCTCGCCCCTTGTTCCCGCGCTTGTTTTATTTCGCAGAGCCCGAGCCGAAGCTAAAACGACAGGGACGGCAGCTATTGCTTCGTTCCCCCCCTTCCTCCCTCGCTCTTTCCTTATCGCTAGTTACTGCTTGCTCCCTCCTCCCTGTCTGCGTTCCCCATATTTCCCGAAGGGCTGGCGACCAAAGTTCCAGAACCGACACCGCAGGGCCGCGCCAGAGCCTTCCCCAGGAGACCGCGGTCCTCTACTTGAAGGGTGTGTCCGAGGTTTCCAAGTGCCGCTTCAGATTTGGACGTTGTCAGTTGTTTTTTGTTCCGTCCACTTCCGTCTTCGTTGCTCCCTCAGGGCAATCCAGCAAGCCAGAATTGATGTGAACAAGTTGGGACCGATGCCAGAAGTGGAACAGACGTTTGACGGATTTCTCTCGTCGTTGTTGTGTGTTTCTCTTATCCTCCCCCCGTCCCCCTCCGTCATCCATCTCCGAATTCTCGCCGCGCCGATGTTCCGGAGGAGAACCCTTTGGCACAGCCGAGCATAACAGCATTCCAGATGGGCGGCATGGACGCTGCATTTGAGCAGTTCGAGAAGTGGGTCTTCGGGAAGGAGCCACTTGATTCCGCCTTCGCTCTTAGGATCCCAGGTGCCAGACCACCACCGCGCCCGCACCCCAAGATGCTTCGGACAGGAAGGCTGCTAGTCTACGGATAATGTACGGTTGTTGCCGCCAGCGCACCCCTGAATACCCAAACCGATGGATCGGACGTGTGAAGGGCACACCGGTTTCGGCTGAAAGTCTTCGGGGAAGCCTGGTGTGGGTCCAAGGTCTTCCCGCTGCCATCCAAGCGTTCTTCCGATTGCGCTCTGCTAGGCAATCCTGAAGCCAGAGGAGAAGGAGGATGAGGAGGAGGAGCAGGAGGTGGACAAGGAGGAGGACAAGTAGGAGGAAAAGGGGGAGGAAAAGGGGGAGGAGGAGGAGGATGAGGAGGAGGAGGAGGAGGAGGAGGAGAAGGAGGAGGAGGAGGAGGAGGGGGAGGGGGAGGAGTGAGGTGGAGGAGGGGGAGGAGGAGGAGCAGTCGCAGACATCCAGCGCTTCGAGCTGCTCCAGACACGGGCCTCCGACCTCTCGACCACTTCTCGGGACCAGTGTGTCCTCCTCCTCTCCTCCTCCTCCTCCTCCTCTCCTCCTCCCCTCCTTCCTCCTACCCTCATCCCCCCCTCCCCTCCTCCTCCTCCTCCCCCTCCTCCTCCTCCTCCTCCTCCTCCTCCTCGTCCTCCTCGTCCTCCTCCTCCCCCTCCTGAGAGCCCCGAGAGGTCGAACACGAGGAACAACTTCCGTTCAGAGTTTTCCGAGACGCGAGATATGTTGGGTCGTTCGCGCGCGCGCGGGGGGCCGCCACGGGGGTCCCCAGGCGAGAAGCATGTTGCCCACTGTGCGCCCGACTCGAAGCACACATGGTGTTGCTCCTGGGCGCGGCCTTCTAGGCCCCCCAGAGCGCTCCAGGATCGCGCCAAGGTACACCCAGTTAGTAGTCCTAAAAAGAAGCCGTATAGAGGAGAAGGAGGAGGAGGAGGAGGATCAGTGACTACCCATCGGTCGCTGAACGTGAATAGGTGTGGGCCCCCTGATTCCAATGTACCTTAGCCGCCTTCCTACTTCAATCGTCGAGTGGCTTCCCTTTTCCTTCCTCCTTAGGGCGCGGGCGGGAACCCAAAATGTGAATCGCCTTTCTACTTCATTATTCTGCCCACTTCTTCCGACCGATCGGCAAAAGAATCACGCTGGGCGGCTGCGCGCCCATCGTGAAACAATAAAATGAGTAGGAGGAGGAGGAGGAGGACAGGAGCAGGAGAAGTGGGGAGGGGGCAGGAGAGGAGGCTAGGATTTCTCCGCCCGGCTCCCGAGCCCTCTGATAGGCGTCTCTCTCGCGGGTGGATCCCCTCTCCCCGACCTCCGCGAGAAGGTGCCAGGGCGAGTGTCACGATGAGCAAGCCCAGCGATGAAGAGCAGCAGGGCCACAAACAGCACCTCTGACATGACGGGTCGGACGACCGCCATACTCTTACCACCATACACCAATATGCAAAGATACCGTGACGATCATCTGCTTGCAGTGCACAACGCCAGGGCGAGCCGTCTGCTCCCGCCGAGTCACTTGATGACGAAAACGGAGGATGAGGAGAGGAAGGTGACGATGATGGTGACGCTAACGTTTGAGCCACAAGTTGTGAATAGAGCCCGCAGATAGTATTGAGCACGCCGAAAACCACTCAAACGACCAGACTCGGGGCTCGAGAAACGGTGGTCAATACAAACGGGGGTCAGCCAGGACACCGGATCCTGCCGGATCCTGGGAGGACCCCCTATGGCTGACCCAGGTTAGCGAGCCGTTCGTGGCCGCGAGGCGGCCGCGCATATTGGCTGACCCGGGTTTGCGAAGACCTGCGTTGCAGTTTTTTTCCTGCATTGCAGTTGTTTGGTTTCCTGCTCCGGGTCGTATCCGGCAGCCCGTCGTACATGCCACTCGTACCGCAATTGTCGAGATAGCCCGCTCTCTCGTTCAAGAACTGGCCCGCGTGGGATGCCACCTTGCGCCAGTCGCTCAAAGAAGAGATTTGGTCGTAGATGTGGCGGGCCCTCAGCACGTGGGATTCTGCCGTGCCGGGGTCCGCCGCTGAACGTCGGGGGTGGACAGAACCCCCAACAGTGACACGTCGATTAGTGAATTGTCCGTTTTCGGTTCTCGAGAGGGCGCCGTGGCCGTTATTTTCCAGGCTCGCGCCCGCCAGGTTTGGGCCTCAGGTCGTTTTCACTAAACCACGTTGTACTAAAGGGGGGTCTGTCCATCCCCGAGAACGACACCGGCCGCGTACTCCGAGTCGTACTCGATGATGGCCTTGGCCTGCTGCCGCGCGGCCGTGCTCAAGCGGTCCCGCAACCATGGCAGGCCGAAGAAGAGGGTACTGAGCTCGCCGACATTGTTGGAGTGCTGCGGGGCCCCGATGCAGCAGGAGTCGTTGACGTTGGTTGACGCGATCCGCCCCGTGGGTGTCCGCCGCGCTGGCGACGCACTCACCAAATTGCCCCCTTGCGAGGGCGACGTGCACGTTCGAGAGGACGGCTGGCCTTTTCGGCGGCCGACGCACGGGCGGCGCACGGGCGACGCATGCGCGACGCACTTCTTATCGCGAAGGGGGGGGGTCAGCACGCCGGTCGTCTTACTGGGCCTTAACACGGTGGGGCCGCAGTAATCCAGCAGCGTTGGGCCTCCGGGGGCCGCCATAGTAAAACCACAGCCCCCGAGGCTTCCTCGTCGTTCTGTCGACGACCCATCGCAAGACAGTGCGAGGTCGAGCGGGTGGTTAAAATCTCCGGTTCCAGGTTGTGCAGGTAGATGATCGGCCGGTTCGGCGGCCCGCCTGAGAGCTGCCACGTCCACTCCAGGCTTGACGCGTTTGAGTGGCGGCAGGGCAGCAACATATATTGCCACTAGGGATTCGGAACGCGGCTGGTGCATGGTCAAACTTACTGGCTTGCCCGCTCGGTGGTCCGCCAGAGCCTGGCTAGCAGTGGCATTCACACGCAGTAGATACGACGATATCAAGCGTGGTCTGGATGCGTTGGTCTAGCTGCATACGTCGCCGGGATCAGCCCGCAGCGCGCCATACATGGCGGAAGATCATGAGGCAGCGTGTGCGCTGGAGCAACGCCGTCCAAGGCGCGGCGCTCGTCCTGGTTGCACGGGCAGAGCCACTGGCGGTGCTTGACGGACTCCACGTGGCAGCACGCGCTGCAACGCACAGGCTGGAATACGTTGCGCGGATAGGCGTTTACATGGTGAAACAGGACGACAACTTGGCGACGAAGCGCACCAACCAGTACGATGTGAACGAGCACGACGACAACAGGTGTGCACATCGTCGTGGAGAGATTGGTGAAACACGTTTACGCCGCCCACGACGATCACGACTCCGACGCCTACAAGCGCAACGGCGACTACAACGGTTTCGACGAAAACACCACAGATTGTTTCCTCACCCGCGCTGCGAGGGCCACAAGCAGAGCTACGAGAACTACCAGTAGAGCTACCAGGGCAACCTGATACACGACGACGGCGCCACCAGCAGAGCTACGAAGGCCACAAGCAGAGCGACGAGAACCACCAACAGAGCTACCAAGGCAACCTGCTACGCGACGATGGCCACCAGCAGGGCTACGAGTGCACGCAGCAGAGCTTTGAGAACCACCCGCTCAAGGACCACCAGCTGAGCGTCGAGGGCCACCAGCTGTGGCACCAGGGCGACGAGGACCACAAGCTGCGCCACAAGGGGCACACGCAGGGTTGCGAGGACCACGGGCTGAGTTGCAAGGGCCACAAGTTGAGCAGCGAGAGCCGCGAGCAGAGCCACGAGTGCCACCAGCTGAACTACAAGAGCCACGAGCAGAGCCGCGAGAGCTTACAGCACAGCTGTGATGACCACCTGCTGAGCTTCGAGGGCGGCAAACTGAATTACGAGGGCCACAAGCAGAGTTCCGGGCGCCGCCAGTTGCGCTACGCGCGCTACCAGCAGAGCTACGATGTCCACAGGCCGAGCTACGAGATTCATCAGCGGAGCTACCAGGGCCACATCTTGAGCTACGGGAGCCACTTGTGGAGCTACTGGGACCACAGGCTGACCGCAGAGCTACTGGGGCCACCACCTTGACAACGAGGACCAGAACCGGGGCTACAAATGCCACGCGGAGAGTTACGAGGACCTCCGGCTGAGCGACAAGGACTTGCACCTGAGCTCGAGTGGGCCGTCCACGACTGGATCAACAGTCGGAATCACAGGCCTCAGCTCAGTAATTACGGCCTGCAGGGGGAGCACACGGAAGGACATCTCCAGCAGCCACTAGAGCAACAGCGGCAAATCATGAAGAGTAAAATCAGCACGGGCCCCGTCCAGAACATCAGCGAAGTGATCCGGGACATGGTTGTTGAGAAAGTTGACAATGACGAGGCCGATGGGTACCGCCGCAGTCAGGAGCACAAGGAGACCAAGCGACCGATCACCATAGGAGATATTGTCGCGGCGAAACTCGGCAAAAAGTACGTCCATTGCGTAGTGAGACAGACCGACGCCCTGAATACGTCCGGTCCTGTGGGAGGACGGCCAACAGTCCACGGCAGGCAGATCCTACAATCTGGCAGAAGCCGCGGAGGTGAAGCCACTTGCACAACATGTTGTCAAGGGTTGGCAACTCGTTACGGACAAGGGTACTACCAGTATTCCGCTACTGACTGACAAGATGCCAAGTCTACCTCAAGCGCGCTGTAGAGACGAAGAGCGGGCCGCTCCCTCCCCCCTCCCCTCCCCCTCCCTTGATTGACCGGGTGCCCTCCCCCTCCCCTGATTGACCGGGTGGTCGGGGGAGGGGGGCCCGCGCCTTCCGCCCGCGGCGCGGCCGGCGCGCCAGACAGGGCGGCGGCGCGGACAGGGGACGCCCAATGGCGCTGCGAGAGAGAGAGAGAGAGAGAGAGAAAAAAAAAAAAAAAGCAAAAAAAAAAAACAGAGAGAGAGAGAGAGGAAGGAGGAGTATCTCAGGGCGCCGTCGCACTCAATCCACCACCCCCGGTTGGCCAAGAGGAGAAGCCACACCTGCCGCCGGCGGAGCCGCCGCCGCCGGAGCCGCTCCCGCCCCTTTGGGCCGCGTCCCTCGAGTCCGAGCGCTTCCCCGGGCTCCTACGCTTGCGGCCCCCGCCCGCCCGCCCTGGCCCTGGGGGCGGAGAGGCAGGGCACGGCCCTCCCTTGGAGGTGGGCGTCACATGTACATATCGGGCGGTGGGGGAGGGCTGAGGGGCGCGCGGATGCCATGGCTGGAGCCATGAGGTCTCCCAGATTTCGTGGCCCCTCAGGCAGGCCACGGCCCTCCTGTGCTGGGGGCGTCACACTTGCGCTTTGGAGGGGGCGTCCCATTGTTTTTGGGGAGGAGGGCTGGGCGTCGCGCGAATGTCATGTCATGGCCAAGGCCAAGAGTTATCCCAAATGATGTCGTGTCGTGGCCCTCAGGGAGGCCACGGACCTCTCTTGGACTTGGCGTCACATTGTTTTTGTTCGGGGGGGAGGGTTGGGGGTGGCGTGGATGTCATGGCCGGGGCCGCAGGGTCTCCCCGATGATGTCGTGGCGTGTCAGAAAAGCCACGGCCCTGCCCTGAAGGGGACGTTACATTTGCGCATGGGGAGGAAGGGGCACGGGGGCGCGTGGAGGTCATGGCCAGGGCCATCGGGCGTCCCAGGTTTTGTGGCCTTTCAGGCAGGCCAGGGACCTCCCTTGCAAGGGGCGTCCCGTTGTCTTCGTGGGGGGGAGGACCGGGGGTTCGCGTGGACGTCATGGCCAGGACCACGAAGTCTCCCAGATGACATCGTGGACTGTCAGGGAGGCCAAGGGCCTCCCCTGCAGAGGGCGTCCCATTGTTTTTGGTGGAGGAGGGGGGGGGTCGCGTGGATGTCATGGCCGGGGCCATCAGGTCTCTCAAATGATTTCGTGGCCTCCCAGGGAGGCCATGGCCTTTGCGTGAAGGGGGCGTCACATTGTTTTTGGGGGGAGAGCTGGGGGGCGCGTGGACATCATGGCAGAGCCCCTGAGATCTCCCAGGTTTCGTCGAAGGGTATGAGTTTGCGCCGCTTGAGGTGAACAGCGAATCCAAGACACTTCGCCCCACCCCCCCCCCGCGCGCCCTAGCATTGACCCCCAATCGCCCCTTTGTCGCCGGTAGGGGCCTGATAGGCTCACCTCGCCAAGAATCATGCGGTTTCGCTGGTGGGGCCCTCTCGCCGATCTATCGGCGATGATCGCCGATGGCACGGTGAAGCCTCGCAGAAGTATGGACGGACGCATCTGCATTGAGTCGTCCGTCGTCCTGGGAGAGAGGAGGACAGATAGTAGTCATAATAAGAAAGTCGTTGCCTTCGCTCCCTCCGCCTCTGTTTAGAGTCTATGCATGCTTGCCGCTGCACGCGTTTGGCTCGAGACAACTGTGATGATAGGACGCCGTTGGCGTCTTAGCGGGCAAGGGTGCGCGCGCGCCTCTCTCATTATCTCTCTCTCTCTCTCGCTCGCTCTCTCTCTCTCTCTCTCTCTATGTCGTTACCTCTCTCTCTCTCTTTCCTTTCTCTGTTTCTCTCTCTCTCTCTCTCTCTCCCTCTTAGCGTTCGCGTGCCACGACCCGTTCTCACATCTACTTGACGAAGCATTGACGCGATGTCGGACGACACCCTTAATCAAGAGCGCATCCATGTACGCGATCCATATTGTTGGATCCCGCCCTGGAGAACATTGACCCCCAAATGGCAACTGTAAGATTGCACCCATCGATAGCTGCGCATTCGGCAAAGCGTGGAGGAGGAGGAGGAGGAGGAGGAGGAAGAGGCGAATGCGCAGGACGACAAGGAGGAAGGATGAGCAACAGGAACAGAACAAAGCAAGAAAACGAGGGGTGGGCGGCGGAGGGGAAGAGGCGAAGGACGGCAGGGAGGAGGAATATAACCGGATCCTGAACTGTGGCCGCCGTTGGGGAGGGAGCGCCATCGCTGCACGACGGGAGCAGGGCACCGGTCTTGGAGTGTGGCCAGCGCCGCAGCGAGAGCCCCATGCTCTCGAAGGCCAGATGCGTTCCGTTCGCAGACGGACCTGTCAAAGGTCAAGGCAAAGCACAGAGGGGAAGCGCACCACGAGACGGGACGCTTTTCGTCAGGGCACTTCGGGTTTCAACGTTTCCAGCGGTGCGTGGTGGCTCCTCCCGAGCGTTTAGGAATGGTGCCCAGGTCTCCCTACATTTCCCTCCAATCGCATCTCGCGCGCACAGTGGCCCGCCGAAGAGGAAGCCCTAGCGCTTCAAAGGCAAGTTGAGCCTCGGGCATATGTGCGGACTCTGGGCGCAGATGTCGCAGGATCTCTGTTACTGTCAGGGCACCTGGTGTTACACTCGGAGAGCGCAGCCCTGATCGGAACTGTGCGTTGCAGGGGGCGCAAGAACGCAAACGAGTCGATAGCACGCGCGCACTGTCACCCAGAGAAGGGAATAGCATGATTTCCCAAACAGTGTGTGCACTCAGGCTTTCTTAGTTCTGTTCTTAGGAACTGGAGAGGGTTGTCAGTCTGGCGGCTATGTTGTCGCCGTCGCTGCCCCGTCGCCGCCTCGTCAATGCCGGTTGTCTGGGGGGGGTCGGTCTGGCGGCTACATTGTCGCCGTCGCTGCCTCATAGCCGCCCGTCGTCTGGGCCTGATTGTCGGGTTGGTAGCTATGCTGTCGCCGTCGCCGCCCCGTCGCCGCCTAAATTGCACAACATAGACTGTACCGACATATGGTGCCGCATAGTTTGCACCACATAGCTTGCGCCATCACATATTGCAGCACTTAGATTGCACCACGTCGATTGCGCCGCATGCAAAGCACACAACACAGATTGTACCGCATAGATTTCACCACATCGATTGCACCATAGATATTGAACCACATGTTCCACATAATAGACTGCACAGCATCGACTGCACCACAGTTGCACACCATATTTTTCTAGAAACACTGTATTGGCTCCATGCTGGCTACTATACTGAGTAATTGTAGCGAGGAGTGACGAGAGGGCATACTATATTTTGGTTGGGGTATGTATCAAGTCGGGGTGACTGACCTTCCGACGGAGCTTGCCCATCCCCCCAACTCCTTCCTCTTCCCCCTCTTCCTATTCCTCCACCCGTTCCGACAGCACGTGCCCGAACCCCCGAACCCCCCAGCAGATCCAAGGAGGAGGGCGATGATTGTCCCATCCAGAGTGGGCAGAGAGAAGAGGGGATGATGAGGAGAAGAAGGAACGGGGGAGAAAGAGGAGGGCTGAGGAGGATAGGGGAAAAATTTTGGGGAGGAGGAGGAGGAGGAGGAGGAGGAGGAGGAGGGGAATGGGAAGGAGGAAGAGGTTGGCAAGGAGGAGCACGAGTAGGAGAACAAGGACGAGATGGAAGAGGGGATGGGGGCACGCAAGGGGAAAAAGGGAGTGGGCGAGAAGAATGCCCCATGGCTATTCCACTTCGGCCATTCCCTAGCTTTGAGACCCTGAGGTCCCCGGAGGCGTGCGACGATTCGAAGAAGTTGGTTCAGATGTGTTAAGCAATGCTCGTCGTCACGAAGCTTATCCTGAGCACCTCGAGTTAAAATACGACTCAGAATGAAAAGCCTGTCTGGGGAGGGAGTCGGGAGTTCTGAGGACTGGCGGGGAAAATCTCGAGCCGTCGGAGGTGTGGGTGCGGAGGTAATCGGCGGCTTCTGGAGGCTCAATCGGCTTCAAGCAGCCTTGATCCCCGAGCCCCCAAGGTCTTCACGGCGTGACGACTCTTCCCCAGTCGACTTGTGGAGGAAAGCAAGAGATTCAGGGTGGGCCGACGCCATGGAAACTCAAAGACTCCACGTGAACCCGGGGAGATCCAGGTCAGCCTGGGCGAATCGTGGAAGACCCAGAGCGAAACGAGCAGCAGACGCTGAAAAGCCCTGTGAGATCGAGCACGTCCGACCGAGTCGCTCAGGCGGGGATCTCGACCAGTTTCCCAGGGTTGGCTCTCCGTTGTGCGTCGTCGTCTGACGGCCCCAGGGCCAAGAAGAGACGGCCCCCGGGGAAGAACGCGCAGCCCGCCACGACTGGTTGGCGACGCTCGGATCGGGGGATCCTTGCCCTCCGAGGACGACCGTCAGGGCGAAAGAAAGCTGTGGATCGAGACCGTCAGGGCGAAAGGGGGGCAGGAGGAGGAGGAGGAGGAGGAGGAGGAGGACCGTCAGGGTCACCGTCAGGGCGACGGCCGTCAGGGCGACCGGGTGGGTCTGGGCCTCCCAGACGGGGTCCGAGCAGCTGGCTGGGGTCGGAGGACCGCGCCGCATCGACGATGCCTCGGCGATGCGGCTCGATGTGGAGCCCGAGCTTCTCCACGCCAACCGTCGCCGATGCGTCGCCGACGTCGCGGATGCACCACCGCGGCATCGCCCGTGCGTCGGCGGTGCGGCGGCGATGCGGCGCGGTCCTCCGACCCCGGCTGCTCGGACCCCGCCGCCGGGCACCTCCCAGCACACACGCGCGTGGCCGCCGACGCAGGAGAAGGAGGAGGAAAAGGAGGGGGAGGAGGAGGAGGAGGAGGAAAAGGAGGGGGAGGAGGAGGAGGAGGAGGAGGAGGAGGAGAGGGAGGAGGAAGAGGAGGAACAGGAAGAACAGGAGGAGGGAAGAAGAAGGAGGGAAAAGGAGAGGGAAGCTTGCGTGAAACCCATGACTCTTAGAAATATCCAAGCATCTTCTGGGTGGCCGAGGGCGGCCGTCGCTGCTTCCCCCCACCACCACAATGTGACAGCCCCCTGCGATGGCCTACAACTAACACAGCACACGCCAAGTGGGCAGAGCATCCCCCAGCACAGACAACACATACAGATACGCACACACACATACACACACACACACACACTTGTTGCGTCGGCGGCGGGGCAGGGGAAGTCTGTGCCAGCAGAAAGGCCCAAACGGGGGTGCCGTTTTGGCGAACCCCAAAGGGACACACACACACACACACACACACACACACGTAAACACACACACACACACATACACAAACACACACACACACACACATACACACACACGCACACACACACGTAAACACACAGACAAACACACACACACACAGCACACCTCTCAGAACATGATTCTTGTTTGCGCCCAGCGGTACAATCCAAAACCAACCCGAAAAGACCTCCAACACGGACCTCTCAAACACCCCCCCCTAAACCGAACGCGCTCCGAACGCGGTCCAAACACCTCTCCAAAACACCTTCAACACCTCCCCACCCTACACCCCATGAGGCAGTAAGTGGAACAACTCAGCTGCCCCCCTCCCCCGAACCAATCCGAAATGACCTCCCCAAACGACTCCCCCTAACACCACCTCACTCAAGACAAACAAACAGGAGGAGGAGGAAGAGGAGGCGGAGGAGGACCTGAGTGAACCGAAGATGCATCAACGACTCTGCAATACTCCCACCTGTCCCAAGTCCACTCCTCATATCCCACTCCGAGAATTCCGCTTCACTGTGGGAAGTGCCCTCTCGAAAGACGAGCTCACCATGGTCCTGCAAGTCAGGCGAGAGCCCCGTTTTGAAAAGGAGCTGACATCTGCGTTTCTAACTACAGGGACGGCGACGGGGCAGGATCAGAAAGTCCACGGAAGCGTTCAGCGCGAGCCTCGCTTTGAAAAAAGAGCCGCCCTAAATCAGTGGAGAAGCGCGTATCCATGTTTGGACGCTTGGGTCTTCTAGAAAATTGCAAGCGAGTGCCCCGAATCGAAAATGAGCCGCCCTCCATCCGTGTAGCCCTATGCGCTGGCATTTTTCTTTATACCGAAGCACACACACAAAAAAAAAAAAAAAAAAAAAAAAAAAAAAAACAGCAAAGAAACAAAGACACGCGCGCGGCGCGAAGGCGAGAGGCGCAACGTGTCGCAGAGGAGCCGCCCTCCACTCGTGCAGCTGCCGGGCACTTCCGAAAGGGGGTATAGGGAGGGTGCGGCGGCGCGCCCCCGGGGGGGGCGGGGGGGGGGGGGGAAGCGGGAGGGGACGGGCCCTCGCGGAGGGCTCGGACGCCCTATCCGGCCTGCCGAGAGGTGTTCGCCGGGCCTCTCCCCGGAAGACGCCAAAAGCAGCCTCTCGGAAGGCCCTAGGGGGCTTCTGCCAGCTGGGGGCAGGAGCGCTCTCGGAGCGTTCCGGAGCGCGCCCTGAGGAGGCCGCGGCGCCCGCCAGAGCTCAGAGAACTCTCGGTTGAGCCTCACCCGATCGGATCCTCGCCCCGGCGTCGTCTTATGAGAAGCCCCTTCCCTGGGCAGCCCCGCCCCCTTCTCCCCCCCCTCCCCCTCGCTCGCCGCCAAGACCCCGCCCTTCCTTTATGCCCATCCTCGAGAGCGACCGACGCCACCCGCCGTTTCCACCGGGCTTTCGCCGCCCCCCACCCCCGTCCTTCGTCCGGGGCGGGACTGGCTCCGGGAGGCGGGGGGGGACCGGGGGGACCGGGGGGAGCGGGGGGAGCGGGGGGGGGGCGGGGGGACAGGAGGCGTGGGGACGGGGGGGGGCGAGGCGAGGGACGGGGACAAGGCGACGGGAGGCGACGGGGGGGCGGGGGGGCGGGGGACGGGGGGGCAGGGGCATGGGGGCAGGGGCAGGGGGCAGAGGCTCCAGGGTGGTGCGGGGGGCGGGCACCGACGCCCAATCGCCGATCGGGGCCTGGGGGAGGGGGGGGCCCAGCCTGCCCAGGAGCGCGGGGGGGGCTCTCCACGTCGGGGGCCCGTCGCCGACGATGCGTTGGGCGGTGCAGCGTCGATGGCGGCCCGTCGGTTCCCCCCCCTGCTGCGCCTGGGGCGGGGACGGGTCGGGCCTGGGGGGGGGGACGGGTCCCGAGGGAGACGGGTCCAGAGGTGTCGCACCGTCTTCGGGCTGCAGAGGGGGCCTCCAGGGGCCCCCGGGGGCTGTCAAGAACGACTCGGAAGAAGAAGCTCCCGCCCTGGGGGGAGGCCCCACAGGGTCCAGGGCCCGGTTCCCTCAGGGCCTCTTTTTTTTTTCTCTCTCTCTCTCTCTCTCTCTCTCTCTTTCTCTCTCCTGTGCTCTAAAGTCCCCCCCTTGCGTATCGCTGCCCTCTTCCCGCGTTTCCTCTGCCTAATTAGTCTCTGCGTAGCCCGCTTTGACCTGACTCGCCGCCGGCGCGCTCGCCCGCGGCCGCTGACTAAAAAGTATCGC